TATAGTCTTCAGTCAGGAAAGTTGATGTGTCCAGCTCCATTTTTCATTTTCAAGATTGCTTTGGCTATTCATGGTCTATATGTTTCCATACAAATTGTGAGATTTTTTGTTCTAGTTCTTTAAAAATATACCATCAATAGTTTGATAGGGATTGCACTGATTCTGTAGATTGCTTTAGGCAATATAGTCATTTTCACAATATTGATTCTTCCAGTCCAGGAACATGATATATCTCTCCAGCTGTTTGTGTTATCTTTGATTTCTTTTATCAGTGTCTTATAGTTTTCTGCATACAGGTCCTTCATATCCTCAGGTAGGTTTACTCCTAGGTATTTTGTTCTTTTTTTGCAATGGTGAATGCGACTGTTTCCTTAATTTCTCTTTCTTATTTTTCACTGTTAGTGTAAAGAATGCTATGGATTTCTGTGTAATAATTTTATATCCTGCAACTTTCCTATACTCATTGATTATCTCTAGTAATTTTCTGGTGGCATCTTTGCATGGTGTATCTTTTACCAGCCTTTTACTTCAAGCCTACCTCTATTTTGGGGGGACTTCCCAGGTGGCACTAGTGGTAAAGAAACTGCCTACCAATGCACGAGACATGAGAGATGCAGGTTTGATCCCTGGGTCTGGAAGATCCCTTAGAGGAGTGTATGAAAATTTACTCTTGTATTTTTGCCTGGAGAATCCCATGGGCAGAGGAGCCTGATGAGCTACAGTCAATAGGGTCACAGAGAGTCAGATATGACTAAAACAGCTTAACACATAACACACATGCCATGTCATCTGCAAGTGGTGACAGTTTTATTTCTTTTTTTCCAATAAACATTCCTTTTATTCCTTTTTCTTTGATTTCTGTGGCTAGGACTTCCAAAAATATGTTGAATATAGTGGCAAGAATGGGCACCCTTGTCTTGCTCCTGATCTTAAAGGAAATGCTTTCAGTTTTTCACCATTAGGAATAATGTTTGCTGTGGGTTTGTCACATATGGCCTTTATGATGTTGAGATATGTTCCTTCTATGCCTATTTTCTGGAGAGCGTTTTTAATCATAAATGAATGTTGAATTTTGCAAAAGCTTTCTCTGCATCTACTGAGATGATCATATGGTTTTTATCTTTCAATTTGTTAATATGGTGTATCAGATTGATTAATTTGCATATACTGAAGAATCCTTGCATCCCTGGGATAAAGCCCACTTGATCATGATGTATGATCTTTTTAATGTGCTATTGGATTCTCTTTGCTAGAATTTTGTTGAAGATTTTTCCATCTATGTTCATCAGTGATACTGGCCTTTTATTTTCTTTTTTTGTAGCATCTTTGTCTGATTTTGGTATCAGGATGATAGTGGCCTCATAGAATGAGTTAAAAAGTTTTCTTTCCTCTACAATTTTCTGGAAAAGTTTGAGCAACATACATGTTAGCTCTTCTCTGAAATTTTGGTAGAATTAGCCTGTGAAGCCATCTGTCCCTGGGCTTTTGTTAGAAGATTTTTTATTGCAGTTTTGATTTATGTGCTTGTGATTAGTCTGTTTATGTTTTCTATTTCTTCCTGGTTGAGTTTTGGAGGTCATACTTTTACAAGAATTTGTCCATTTCTTCAAGTTTGTTCATTTTATTGGCATATAGCTGCTCATAGTAGTCACTTATGATCCTTTGTATTTCTACATTGTTGTAACTTCCTTTTCATTTCTGATTTTATTGATTTGAGTCTTCTCCCTTTTTTCTTGATGAATCTGGCTAATGCTTTTCAATTTTGTTTATCATCTCAAAGAACCAGCTTTTAGTTTTATTGATCTTTGCTATTGTCTACATTTCTTTTTCATTTATTTTTGCTTTGATCTTTACAATTTCTTTACTTCTACTAAGTTTGGCGTTTTTGTTCTTTTTCAGGTTGCTTTAGGTGTAGGGTTAGGTTCTTTATTTAATGTTTCTCTTGTTTCTTGAAGTAGGCTTGTATTGCTATAAACTTCCCCCTTAGCACTGCTTTTCCTTCATCCCATAAGTTTTGACTTGTGTTTTCATCATCATTTGCTTTCAAACATTTTTTTATTTCTCCTTTAATTTTTTCAGTGACCTCTCATTTATTCAGAAGTGTATTGTTTGACCTCCTAGTGTTTGTGTTTTTAATAGTTTTTTCCTGTAGTTGATGTCTAATCTTATAGCGTTATGATCAAAAAAGATGCTTGAAATGATTTCAACTTTTAAAAATATATTGCAGCTTGATTTATGACCCAAGATGTGATATATCCTGAGGAATTTTCCATGTGTACATTAAGAAAAGTGAAATCTATTGTTTTGGGAAGAAATGCCCTGTAGATATCAATTAGATCTAACTGGTCCAATGTACCATTTAAAGTTTGTGTTTTCTTATTAATTTTCTGTCTGGATCATCTGTCCATTGGTGTGAGTGAAGTGTTAAAGTCCCCCATTATTATTGTGTTACTGTTGATTTCCCCTTTAATAGTTGCTGACATTTCCCTTGTGTATTGAGATGCTCCTATGTTTAGTGTGTGTGTGTGTGTGTGTGTATAAATAATTGTTTTATCTTCTTCTTGGATTAATCCCTTGATCATTATATAGTGTCCTTTCTTGTCTCTTATAGCAGTCTTTATTTTAAAGTCTATTTTATTTGATATGAATGTTGCTACTCCCACTTTCTTTTGATTTCCATTTGCATGGAATAAGTTTCTCCAGCCCCTCACTTTCAGTCTGTATGTGTCCCTAGGTCTGAGGTGGGTCTCTTGTAATTAGCATATACAAGAGCCTTGTTTTTGTATCCATTCAGCCAATCTATGTCTTTTGGTCGGAGCATTTAGTCCATTTACAAAAGGTAATTATTGATATGTATGATCCTATTACCATTTGCTTTGTTTTTTTGGATTTGCTTTTACAGGTTTTTTTTTTCTCTTGTGTTTCCTGTCTAGGGAAATTCCTTTAGAATTTGCTGTAAAAGTGATTTAGTGGTGCTGTATTCTCTTAACTTCTGCTTGTCTGGAAAATTTTTTATTTCTCCTTCACATCTGAATGAGATAGTTGCTGGATGGAGTAATCTTGATTGTAGGGGTTTTTTTCCTTTCATCACTTTAAGTATACCCTGCCACTCTCCTCTGGCCTGCAGAATTTCTGTTGAAAGATGAGCTGTTAGCTTTATGAAAATCTTCTTGTATGTTATTTGTTGCTTTTCCCTTGCCACTTTTTTTTTAATTTTAAATTATTTTTATTGGAGTATGGTTCATTTACAATATTGTGTTAGTTTCTGCTGTACAGAAAAATGGAGCAGTTCTATATACACACCTTGCCACTTTTAATATTTGTTCTTCTTAATTTTCATTGGCTTGATTAATATGTGTCTTGGCATGTTTCTCCTTGGGTTTACCCTTATGGGACTCTCTGGGCTTCCTTGAGTGAGTGGCTATTTCTTTTCCCGTGTTAGGGAAGTTTTTTACTATAATCTCCTCAAATATTTTCCCATACAGTTTCTTTCTCTCTTCTTATTCTGAGACCCCTATAATTCCAATGTTGGTTCACTTAATGTTGTCCCAGAGTTCTCTGAGACTGTTCTTGTTTCTTTTGATCCTTTTTTCTTTATTCTGCTCTGCTTCACTTATTTCCACCACTCTATCTTCCAGCTCACTCACCCATTCTTCTGCTTCAGTTATTCTGCTATTGTTTCCCTCTAATGTATTATTAATCTGTTATTGTGTTGTTCATTTCTTATTTTCTATTCTTTATTTCTTCTAAGTTCTTGTTAGACATTTCTTGTATGTTTTTGATCCATGCCTCCAGTCTATTTATCCGTGCTTTCATTTTATTTCCAAAGTTTTGGATCATCTCTACAATCATTACTCTGAATTATTTTTCACATAGACTGCCTATTTCCTCTTCATTTGCTTTGCCTTGTGAGTTATTACCATATTCCTTCTACTGCTGCATATTTCTCTGCCTTTTCATTTTTGTTAAATTTACTGTGCTTGGAGTCACCTTTCTACAGGCTGGAAGGTCTTAGTTGCTCTTAATTGTCAAGCCTGCCCCCACCCCGGGTGGGTTTGGGCCTGTGCCTTGTGAAGGTTTCCTACTGGGGAGTTTGTGTCTGTGTTCTGGTGAATGGAGCTGGATCTTGACTTTCTGAAAGACAGTGCCATGTCCAGTAAAGTGTTATGGGATGTCAGTGGGCTTGGCATGACTTTGAGTAACCTGTCTGCTAATGGGCAGAGTTGAGTTCCTATTTTTCTGAAGGTTTGGCATGAAGTGTCTGGCACTGGAGCTTGCTGGCCTTTGGGTGTGTCTTGGTCTTAGTGTTGAGATGGAGGCTTTGGGGAGAGCTATCACTGATTAATGTTCCATGGGTTTGGGAGCTCTCTGATGATCCAAAGCCCTGGACTTGGATCTCTCAACTCAAGGGTCTAGGCCCAACCCCTTACTGTAGCAGGAAGATTTCACAGGCCACACATCATAGAAGACAAAACCCCAAGACTAATGGTGAAATCAACACAAACAGCCCAGAGCACTCAAAGAAATTCACACACTTATTCTGAAGAGATTAACTTCCCTTTTTAGAAGTGTAGGTTCTTCTGTCAGTGTTCAGGAGGTATTCTGTAGGAGTTATCCCATATGCAGATGGATTTTTAATGCATTTATTGGGAGGAAGTTGAGCTCTCTGTCTAATTCCTCCACCACCCTGAAACTCCTCAGGAATCTAGCTGTAACTTCTTATATTTATATTTATTCAGTAGTATCTTTAAAAGGTAAGCAAATACCTGGGCCCTGTTTCTCCCTGTAGATGCCTGCATTTACAGATTTGAGGTTAGCATTTTGCATTGCAATCTCAGTTTGCTCATGAATTCAAATGATGAAAATTTCCAATTTTCTAGCTTTTTTTCCTTGTTATATAAATGTTAGAGAGAGACTCTCTTAAATTTTACATCTCTGTGATGATAACTTAGTATCATGTGAATCTGAGGATAAGATTTGAAGCTCTGTTTGTCTTCCAGCATCCATACCACAGTTTACAAATTCCCCCACGATGGTGATCATGGTGGGTTTACCAGCTCGAGGAAAGACCTACATCTCAACAAAGCTCACGCGCTATCTCAACTGGATAGGAACACCAACTAAAGGTATGTCTCTGAAACCCTTTGTTCTACAGCCCTCTATAGAACACTGATGGAGTATAGAGTAAGGTAGCTAATCTCAAAAGAGCAAAACCACTAGTACAGGAATGTCTCAAACCACTATTAACAGTACTAAGACTATTACTAATATTATTACTGCTGCTACTGCTACTACTACTACTACTACTATAACTGCTACTACTATTTCTACTACTGCTACTACCACCTTCACAAATTTTACAATTTCTTCAGTACATATCCAGTGCCAAATCTTATGCTAGGGGCTAAGTATAGGAAAATTAATAAGATTAAATATCTGTTTCAAAGGAGGTCTATTTTGTAAGACCTCAAAATCACTCTATCAATAACATATTATTCTTATTACCATTTTTATTAATATTACATCAATAATACTATTTTATTAGCATTATCATTTCTTTACAACCTTAAGGTTCCCTTCAGAACATATGGATGTATAGAGTCAAGCACATTGAAACCCCAGCCTGGAGGCCCCCACAAGCTCTTCAGTATAGCAGGGCACTTTAGCTCACTTCTCCAGTCCAGAAAGTGTCCTGTCTCCAAGCCTCTCCTTAGGTCTGTGCCTTGCTTCTCCCCCTCTCCAGCAGGAAGTGACCCTGCCTCTTTCGCCTCCAGAGGGGTCTCCTTCACAGCCTGTCAGCCTCCTCCCACACTCCCTGCTTCCAGCTTTCTTTTCTCCCCATGTGATCTCTTTTCTGCTTATTATCTCTTATTCAGCAATCACTCTCTTCTATTCTCCTTTTGATTTCTCTCTCCCCATCCTGTATCCCCATTCCTATTTGGCTCCTCTGTTCTCCCTAGGACCATGCTTCTCTGGGCTCCCACACCAATGCTTTCTACAGCCCCCTCTATCCAACACTAATTACATAGTGTGTTGTGTGTCTGGGTCTCTCGCCCCAGGAGCTGCTCTGGGGTAAGAGATTAGATCTTATTCATTTCTATTGCTCAAGTAGGACAAAATTAAGACATTTGGAGGCTCTAAACGCTCAAAGTTAGGGTGCCCCTGCATCATATGTAATTCAGAATAAAAACAGTAAATGTAAAAAAGTCTACCAATTTTTTAAATTTATCCCCTAATGACTATGTTAATACTTTTAATGCATATCCACTTGGCTGAAAACTTTTACTGGGGCTGTGTCTTTACTGGTACACTAAGCAAGTGCTTAGCCTGTCTCTCTTATGGAATGGAGCACTGCTCCCCAGTGCAGAAAAAAGTTCTTCTCAGGCATTCATTTGCTCAGTCATTAATTATTTGTTGAGCACAGTTGTGTCAAGGCCCTTGTTGGATGTTGGGCAAACAAAAACAAGTAAGATATAACCCTTGCCCTAAAAGAACTCACATCTATCCTTAAGCTCTAAAACTCCCATGTGGGAGGAACTAGTATTATCATCATCCCACTGTTGATGAAACTAACACTCAAGAGTTGATGCATCTTGTCTGAAGGCACATGGTCACCATGTGATGGAACACAACACATGTATGTAACATCAACCAAGGTGATGGAACACAAGGTGATGGAACCAAGATACGAACCCACATCTGGTTGATTCCAAAGCCTTACACTCACTGTGTCTGACACTGACACTCACTGTCTGATACTTGGCACTACTGATGGGAAGAGGAGAGAACCCACATTGGCCCTGTACTCCCCTCCATGTTCTTCCTCTCATTTCTCTTGACCATCCCAACACCCTATCTATCTGCCCCCTTCCCTCCCTCTCTCCAGTCTTCTCCTCTCCTTCTCCCATTTCTTCTTTCCCTTCATTTACTTTCTGTTTTTCTCATTCACTGGTGAGTTTCCCACTGGTCCTCCATGTGCCAAAACCCATACTATGCACTGGACATGCAAAAGGAGATGATATTCACACCCTGTCCTTAAAGATTTCTCCATTTAGCTGGAGGGCATAAGAATACATGTCACTGAAGAATCCCAGAGCAGGGTACTGAGGGTCTCACAGAAGAAATCACCACCTGGAAGGCAGTGAAATCTTCCATATGTGGTATATTTGAGCTGGGTGGGTCTTGTGGGGGGAATAGGACATTGGCAGAAGAGAAGGGGAGAAGGAATAGTTCTTGTAGGACTGCAGGCTCTGAGGAGCCTCTGCTGAGTGTAGGGGCACATGTGATGGTGGCAGATGGGTCTCTGCTCCTATGCAACTGCTTCCCATCTGCTCCACTCACACAGAGACCCTCAGTGTCATGTTTCAAACACATAGCTGCCCATATCTATAGCTACCAAGGGTTCCCTTGACTGGCAGGTTTAAATCCAGGCTCCTTAGCCTATCATTCATTCAAGGCTCTCCATGATTGGCCTCTGCCAGGCTCACAGGCCTCACTCACAATTGGATGACTCATGTTCTGCGTTCTGCCAATGCCACACCTTTGCTCAAACTGTTCCTCTACCTGGAATGTCTTTGTTCCTCTCTCCCACACACCATGCCTGCCTATAAAAGGTCTGCCTTCCTATAAAGACTGGTACAAATGCTGCTTTCTCCAAAATAAGCTTTTGAGACTACTCTAAGTTTAGTTAGTCTTTCCTCCCCCCTTACTCTTTTGCATGACTCTGTCAGAGCACTTAATAAACTGAATGAGAGCTCTCTGTTTACTGGTTTACTCTCTGTCCTGCCTTCTGGATGGTGAGCTTCTTGTGGATCCATCATGCAAATCAGATTCATCTCTGAGACCCCAGAACTCATGTCCTGATTTACAAAGTAGACATGAGAAAGTATTTGTTGGATGAATGAATGAAATAGTACATTACATGTTTGCCTATTATCCCCTTGTTCCCCCTTTCCCTCCTTCCTCTCTGGTTTTTACCACTACAAATGAGAAAGTGTGGCCTAAAAAGTTCAACAAATCTAGGTTCTCTATACTGATGCATAAAATATGATAGCATTGGACTAGGTATCAGAAGGCTAAGTCTAGTTATGTCCCCAGCTAGCTCAATGTTTGACCCTTGGTTTACTCCCTGGATCCCAGTTTCTTTATCTTTCCAATGGAGTGGGGCATTAAAAGCTTTGTAGTTTATGATAAAATGGAATAGTAGAGAGATCACCAGCTTTGGGACCAAACAGACCTGTGTTTGAATCCCAGCTCTCCACTATGAGAGTTACTTCCTTTCTCTGAAATTTCATTTTCTCGTTTATAAAATGGAAACGGCGATTACTACTTTTTAAGGTTGTTGTGAGGAGTAAGTGAGCTGGACGCCATAATTTGAGGCTTTGTATACATGTTATATAATTAGAAACTATACCTTCTTTTACCTCTGAGATCCCTCCAGAGAGGATTTTTTTTTTTTTTTTTTTTTTGCCACCGGGATCTTCCCAACCACTTCACCAGGGCTTCCTGCTTTCAGTGTTTAATTTAGGCCAATATCGACGAGAGGCAGTGAGCTACAAGAACTACGAATTCTTTCTTCCCGACAACATGGAGGCACTACTTATCAGGAAGTGAGTACCTAACATTTTAAAGACCTTTGCTGCCCCCTGGCTGAGGGAGGCCTCTATTCAGATGAGAGGGGAGAAGAGCAGAGCAATTTGAGTTAGTAAGGAGACCATCTAGACTCTCAAAGCAGAGTTAAGACAACCCTTACACTATATTAATCAAAGTCTATCTCTGGTCATATCCATCCCTTGCTTAAGAACTTTTAACAGTTTCCTACTTCTGACAGGAAAGAGTAGAAATTTAGCCTAGCATTTAAAATAAGAGTCTTAGTAGTTTGGCCCACTCCGATCTCATCCATTCAACCTCAAGGTGTTCGTCCTCTACAAGACTCTGAACACTTTCAGAACAGTGCCTGAGTCTCATTTATTGATCTACATCCTCATAATGAAACCCAACAAAGAAAGAATAATCACTAAACAGATTTTTGCCAAAAGTGTAAATACATTTCCATCATGTTACCTGTGTTTGCCCTGTTATATATGCCAGGAATGCCTTTTGCTTCACAGACTATGTATTCAGGCTCTTCTTGGGTTCAAGACCCAATTTAGTTTGAGCACTATTAGTTCAAGGTTTGGAGCCCTTAATAGTATGCCTCGGTCATTAGTCTACTTTTCCTGGGTATGTTATGCCCCAAAATGTCTACTCAGAACCATTTTCAACTGTGTGGCTTCTCTGTGCTTGTCATAGTTCTTAGAACATAGAACACCCTTTGTAGATATTCAACAGATGAATAATTTAATGTATGACATATGAGATATAGTGCAAAAGATAATGCAGAATAGAGAGGAACTCATCTTGGACATAGTAGCTGTCTCTGTTTCTTTCTTCATCTTTTTCAGGCAGTGTGCCCTAGCAGCCCTGAAAGATGTTCATAGCTATCTCAGCCATGAGGAAGGTCGTGTTGCAGTAAGGAAATTTGCATTTTCTTTTGGGTTTCTGTTGGGATGGAGAAGAGCTAATATATTCTGAGTGTTTATTATGCTCTATACTTTATTCTAAGCACTTTGCATGTATTAATTTAATTCCACCCTCCCCCACAAGATAAGTATTTTTTTACTATACTCCATTTTATACCCCAGAAAAATGTAGTGCAGAAAGACCAAATAGTTAAATATTTTCCCAAAGGGTAGGCCAGAACTGGAATACAGGTTGTATAGCTCCAGAATCTATACTCCTAACCAATATAGTCTACCACTCTACTCCCAAGAATTCAGCAGGACTACACTAGAATTTGACTGCAATACAAACATTTTTGAGTCCTAGAGATTTACCTAAACACCTAGTCAATTTAATCTCATAAACCTCTGATATAGAATTTGGAAATTCTAAAAAGGCTTCAAAGAACTCCAAAATGATAGGGAGGGAAGAAGCTTCACCTAGGAGCTGAGAAAATCAGTTTCAACTCTGCTTTGTCACTAAGTCTCAGTGGCCTTGGGTAAAAGAAACCCTTCTTCTAAGTCTCAGCTATTTAACCTGTAAAATGGCCCTAATAGAATTCCACAATTTTCCTATGGCCTTATTATGCTTACAGAGTCTGCTACATTTCTGGGCAGACAACAAAGGCTCAATGAATGCTTGAGAAATTGATATAAGTCATTTCAAATCCTTCAAAACCCTGGTCAAGTTTTATCTTCTCCTTGACGCTGTTTGCTTAGCATAGGGATGGTCAAAGAGTAGGCATAGATTTAAAGCAGAACTAGGTTTAAAGCAAACCAATCTCATCGTGTGCCTCTAGGTTTTTTTTTTTTTCCATTTATTTTTATTAGTTGGAGGCTAATTACTTTACAACATTGCACTGGTTTTTGTCATACATTGAAATGAATTAGCCATGGATTTACATGTATTCCCCATCCCGGTCCCCCCTCCCACCTCCCTCTCCACCCGATCCCTCTGGGTCTT